TGTGTGTGAGTGTGTGTGTGTGTGTGTGTGTTTGAGTGTGTGTGTGTGTGTTGAATTTTGCTTTGCTTTCATTTATTTACCCAGACAAGAAGTATATTTGTTCCCATGTCGGTTGCAGTGTTGCCATGCTTTCAACCTGCGTAAGAAATAAGCTCTATTATAATTTATTTTCTGTTCAGGATATAAAAAACCACAAATAGATAGAAAAGTAGAAATAGGAGCATCCCGCGTTTTAATGTTTCTTTTCATACATAATTTTTGTGTTTTGAAAACATTGAATTGCTCCTGGAATGAACAGCTGTGACTGGAGAAGGATTGTACCTCCCATGTACACAAAGGTAAAACACAAACATGTACACATGTATTTAATTTTAGGTACAGGTATGTACTTATTCTCAGACCACATTAAACTTTTCCCGGATTCATACGTAAATGCTACAGTTGTTGTCCCTGATGTTGGGAATCTAGGTGATTGTAACAATAGATGGTGGCCTTTTTTTTTCAACCAAAGGGAAACTACTCTGATAAAAATGTAGATAAAGTCAGGCGTTGCCAAAGCTTCATTTCCTTTCGGAATCAGACAGCTGAAGTAAACAATAGGCCTTTGATTACACTTGATCATCTCTTGCAGGCTCTGTGGACTCTAAGCATCATAAACAAACGTCACTTGCGAGCATGGCTAATACTGCCATTAATTTCACAGCGCAGAGAATATCCTTTGTAAATAAGGTAGGCAACATCGTGCCGTATTGGTCAGGCAGTAGAGAATCTAGTGTTGTGCTTCTTGTAGGCTAATAATTATTGTGTTGCAAATTTGTTTTTTTCTAAACTGGATGATCCTAATTTTCATCAACCCGTAGTAAAATTAAAGCATATATCTAGATTTAGATCTATCTAGATCTAGATCTAATAAAATATCTAAATAGGTAAATTCAACGCAACGTTCAAGTTGATGATTAGGCTACAGAATCTAAAAGAGAGAGTGATAATACTGACTGAGTACTGATAAAGATGATGAGCCAGCAAGAGTTATTTCATAAAAACATGCCAAGGCACTAGATCTAGATTCTAGTGATGCATGCAATAGACCGTCGCTTCGAAGCGCAGCTGGAGATTTGGGAAGACTTCCGTAACGAGCGACCACTATGAGACAGAGCAGAATTGGGCCACCTCTTCTCACCCCGTGTGAGAATAGTGCAGGCGAGTCTTTTGGCTATTCTCACCCGGTGCGCGTTCACCGTTATAGCCTAGATCTAGGCCAACCAATTTTGCGTTCACCCTAAACCACAGAATTCTACACTGTGATAACAGAAAATTGTAGAATTCTGTGCCGTGAACAAACGTTCCATTACTACTGTTAGCCTACTAAAAGTGTACAATTTTGTCTGTGGGCAGTGGAGAGAGAGAAAGAGAGAGGAGTAGCGCGAGAACTTCTGGGCAAAACAAAATGGCGGCCCGCATAGTTCTGCTCGATTCGAAAAGTTAAATAGCCGTAGCATCTTTGTAGACGACCAAATTAATTTACTTTTGTGTTTTAACATCATTTTTTGACTTTGTTTTGGTCAATTTGATCGTCCACACCGATAGTAGACAGTATTCAGAAAGAGATAGAGAGAGAAGAGGGGAGGAGTAGATCTTGCGAGAACTTCCGGGCAAAACAAAATGGCGACCCCCGTAGTTCGGCTCGATTCGAAAAGTGATAGCCATAGCATCTTTGTAGTCGATAAAATTAGCTTACACTTTTGTGATATAACGTAATCTTTTCTTTGCCTTTATCCATTTGATCATCCACATCGATAGAAAGTATTCCGAAATTAGGAAAAACAGGTCTTGTTTCACACCGGGTGAGAATAGCCTACGGTGGCAAGTCTCACCCGGGGTGAGAGGTGAGAGGTCGATCGTATTTCTATTTTCACCCCGGGTGAGAATAGCCTCTTCCGCAGAATTGAGGGCTAGGGGTAGGGGTAGATCTACGGGTAGGGGTAGGGTTTGGGTTAGGGTTAGGGTCTCTTCTTTATTGTGTTTGATGGGGTGGTCGCTCGCTACGGAAGTCCTTCTGGAGATTTTATGTACATTTCATAGTCTACTGAGCTCCCTTTGCACGATTCGACTTTCGAAGCACTGGGTGATATGGCATGGGTCGAAGTGCAGCGAATGTTTTTTTGTATGCTGGCATACTTAGCTCCCCTTTGCATGATTCAACATTCGGAGCATAAAGGCTGTATGGTAGAGCTGGAGTCTGCTCGATAAATCGAAGGCTTGCAATACCACGCTCCCTCTCACTTATTCACTCGCTAAGCTGATCAATGGCGGGAAATTAAAAATAGCTTCGGCTCTACGTCTTGCACTAAAACAAGCACAGCCTCTTACTTCCTCCACGGTTCAGAGTTCACACTGCGAGCGGTCTTGCCGCTTGCTGCTACAGCAAGTCAGTCAAATGACTTGCCAAGTTGCGAGCTGGTCCTGGGAGCCAAAGCAAATCATGGGAGCCGAGAGACTTGCCGGGCTGTGAGCAAGTCACTGGCACAAAGCAAGAAAATGGGACTCATGGGGCTTGCTGTGCTGCGAGCGAGATTTGAGATTTGTAGGCCGTCCGCTGCTCTCAAGCCTTCGATTAATCGAGCAGACTCCAGCGCTACGCCGCGCAGTGACAGTGTGAGCGGGACCTCTCACTCTCCCCCTCTCTCTTTTTCTGACGAAAGTGGCTGCGCGGATTGCAAGCAGGGTGGGGAGGATGTGGGGGTCTGACACAAGTGGCTTCGCGGATTGCTAGTTGGTGTGGACTTGACTAGACTCAACTTATCATGCTGGTGATTTGATTTGATGATTTGACCTAGTGATTTGAGGCTTGTGACTTGAACTAGGGGCTTGCGAGCATGAGCGGGTTTGCTACCGGGGTACAACTCTACTATATGGGTACCCACCACCGCTTGGAAGCGCAGCAGGGATATGGGTACCCACCGCCGCTTTGAAGCACAGCAAATGTTGTGTTGGATTTTTTTTTTTATTGTAGGCTGACGGACTTACTAGCTCCCCTTGACATTTGAAGCACAAGGTTATGAATGTTGGGCTGTGATGTCATATAGCATTATGGTGTGTCCGTGCGTGATTAGAGTCAGTCGTGTTTTGACAAAAAACCCAAAAAACAAAAACCACCAAAAAATCAGCCAGCCACCATAGCCTACTTGTGGAGAGATCCAAAAGAAATACAATTTGTGGGTACGCCAAGGGACTACGAAATGAGAGATTATTATAAGCCGTGCTGGCAAGGCTAAAAATACACATTGCACTGCACACCTTACTATTACACTCACATTGCCCTTTGTCTCAATCCGTATTCCATTGTCTGAGTTCTCTTTCTTTATGGCTGCAATGTAGATTTTTAAAGTACATTCTGTTTCCTTGCTTTTGTCCATTTTAGGCCAGTTATTTGATCGTTGCACTGGCGTGTAATTTCAGAGATTTCATTGTCCTTCAGATTACAAATTTGCATTCCGTTTCTGCTTTATTTGTTCAAAATTACATTTTTTATTGTCATTATTAGGCCTATTATAATCATAATGCCTCCAACAGAATTCTCTTTTGTACCTTTTAACCATTTACTGCTTGAAATCTTAGCTGGTATGTAAATCTGTGCAGATAAATTTAGTGTGATTTGATCATATTGTTGTACCATGTCAAGCAAAAGCCCGGGAAGTATTCTTTGGCTGTTATTTGAGCAGAATTTACGAAATAAAGCTACCCATAGAAGAACCTCCCAAAGGCAATACAACCTAGCAAACAGCAGTGTTGTGTGATGCAGCAACAGTGTGCAAGTGTGTTAGATCTATCGCTCGCTGCTCGCTCGGTAAAAGGCTTTTCTCTTGTCCAAGTCCCCCTTTTCCTTCCAAGCAGACACTAGACACGAATGGTCGCCTGTTTTTATTATTCCCCCTCTCCCCTCCCCCTCTGCAACAGTCGCCTTTATGTTATTTATTTTGAAAAAGCAAAAAAACATTGTTTCATCACCGCGTGCGCTGCGCAACTGCTAGGACTAGGGTTGGTACAAGGATTTCTCTAGATAATGGTTGTTTGTTATGGAAGTCCATCTTGCTGTTTAATCTTCTCAGGTCTTTGTAAGGGTGTTAAAAAATTTGGATGACCCAGTAGCAGCTAGAAAAGCCCTATAGATCTAAACGAAGCTTGGAAGGTTTGATAGTCACTGCAAGCTGAGGTTCCGACATTCTTCTTTGATGTTTGCCTAGAGAGGGTAAAAAAATAATAGGAAATTTATAGCACACCCTGAATATAGGCCTTCACACACACAAAAGTTTACCTCTGTTGTCATTAACACCATGCCATACTTAACATGGTGTAGTAGATATGGATGATGAGTACTTTTCAAGACTCACTGGATGGGGACAAGGGTGCTGTTGTGTTTTCAAAATGAGCAATTTGAAGGCTACATAATACTATTGTATTACTGTGTAAATCATTTATTGGAGTGATCCTGTGCATGCACCAAAAGGGGATGTTTAATATGAGATTTAAAAATTTTTCTCGATGGCTGGCCTGCAGGAGTGCCATGGAAAGTTACACACACATTGGTAAATAAACAGACGAAAATTTATTAAGCTATAATAAGAGGAATTGAACTATTCAGATTATTAGAGTTGGAGGTAGAAATTCTAATGATTCACTTTGTTCAGTATGCTACTTTTAAGTGTTTGTCTTCTTATATAAGTGTATTAAATATGTTATAAATGCACCAGTTCATCTGGCAAAAAACAAACAAACAAGAAAGCAGTTAAGTTAACGCAAATAACTTAAGAAACCCACATTTCTGGATTTATCTGCAAAATTGTCTCCTCTGGGTTTTTCCTTAATTTTTAGCTGGTGTGTGTATGCCATCAAAATATATAGAGACCCTATACTTCTTAGGTTTGACATATTTTGTCATCGGTGTACGGCATATAGTGTGCACTTTTCAAGTGCCACTGTTTTTACTAATATTTTGTGAGTGCAGTCTATTTTTGTTATTATATTAAATATTACTATTTTGGTATTCCTGACTTTATTCCTCTCTAACTTTTCAGATTGGTCTCATCTTAAAGGCAACTTCTGATGATGAGCAGCCTACACAAGCATATCTATACAAAGAAATTAATGGTAAGAACTGGGCAAGTAATTGTACTCGAGAATATCAGACTTAAAGGCAAGTTATTTGTACAAAGAAATTAATGGTAAGACTTTAGCAAGCTTATATGTGCAAAGAAATTAATGGTAGGGCCTGTGCAATGTTTTTTTTGTATGTAGAAATTATTGGTTAGACCTAGGCAAGCTTATTTAATTTGTACAAACAAAGAGATTAATGGTAAGGCCTTTGTGAGCTTATTTGTTCCAAATATATACATTTGAAGAAGAAATCTTTAAACAGCTTTGATCTGATACCATGTAAATGTATTTTATTATTATACATTTTTTTCTTGTTCCGGTGTCTAGACACACTTGTCACTGCCTGTATTCCTGTTTTCATGTGC